TATATATATATATATAAGCTTATTTATTAAATATAAATACATAAATATACTAGATTTATATGATATATGTTAATACTTTTTTTAGTTTTTTTATCTGTTTTTATTTTTTTAAAATACGTTTTCCGTTGATCATCATGCGAGATGGGTAAAGAGAAACTCAGGCGGAAGGACAAGGCTATGCGCAGCAGCAAGTAGGGGAAGTGCGATGGGCCCCGTCATGTCGCTGTTGCCCAATACTCAGTTTTCTTTTCCTGGATTTAGAGTCAAATCACATCAGCTCTCTCTCTCTCCCTCGCTTAAGGCCATTTGTTTTGGCCGTTGGATAGCTTTTCACAGCTTAAAAGTTGACAGATTTATATATTGAGCAGCCAGCACAGGAGTGTGGGTTTGACGGAAGTGCTTGCAGGAAGCATTTGGAGCTGAAATAGTAGTGGAATCTTGAAGAGGAGACTCTTCTCCCATACAGCCTCTCTTTATCCCGCTGCCATTACCAGTGAGTTATACTTACTATTATTTCTTTGGGGCTTTTGAGTTTGGGTTTCTCTCTCGGTGTACTACTGAACATTCGACATTCTTTCTCTTTTATACTTGTAGTTTTCGTTCGTTCTTCTTAGAGGAGAAGAGGAGATGAGTAAAGATGAGGACTTCAAGCTTCTCAAGATCCAGGTATTTCATATCCGTCGTCTCTGTTCCTCTTTTCTCTACAAAGCAAAGTTTTTGATTTGGTTTTCTTCAGCTTTGAGAGAAGAAAAAAAAGGAAGGGATTTGTGATGGTGTTGATTGATTGGTTGCCCCTCTTTTGTTGTTACAGACCATCATTCTCAAAGTTAACATACACTGTGATGGCTGTAAGCAGAAAGTGAAAAAGCTCCTTCAAAGAATCGACGGTGCTCTGCTTCTCTTGTTTCTGTTCATTTGAACCTTCACCTTATTGTTTTTCTTTTCATCTTGTTTTTGGCTTTTCAATTGATAAGTGGATCAAACTTTTCTGTTAATTTTTTTTGGAAGGTATTGTTTGTTTATTAGCGTTCAAAAGAGGCACGATTTTTGTTCTTCTTTGCCTTCTCATGCATAAAAACCATTTTGGAAGATTTGGTGATTTAGGAGAAAAGATCAAAATTGTCGCTTAATCCCCGAAAAATAACTTATTATTATTATTTTTTCTTCTATAACGAGTTTGATTATGCTCCAACATAATGTGGTCCTTGAGAAATAACAGAGACATTTTTCTTCTTAAGTTCTGTTCAATTATACATTACAAGAAAGCATCTTTATTGAAATAAAAGAAATCATACGAGCAGTAAGTTTCTTCAGTTATGCAAAGATTTCACCTTTCTGTCCAAAGCTCACAGAAGTTTTACCCCTTTCTCTTTTTTTAGGTGTCTATACGGTCACCATTGATGCAGAACAGCAGAAAGTTACAGTCTCCGGAAATGTAGACTCTGCCACTCTCATAAAGAAGTTAGCTAAAGCTGGAAAGCATGCCGAGCTCTGGAATCAGAAGTCCAACCATCACTCTAATCACCATAACCCCAAACCAAACAATAATCAGCAAAGGCAACAAACTCAGCTCATGAAAAACACCAACCCTTCCAAGTACAACAATGGCCTCACCTTCAACAACAATAACAGCAACAACAGGCCTCAGTCCACCCAAGCCCTCATACAGGGCCTCAAGGCTTTCAAGAACCAGCACACGAAGCTTGAATCCTTAAGCTCTGACAACGAATTCTGCGACGAAGATGATGATGGAGAGGAAGAAGATGATCTTGGTCTTCTGGAGGAGAAACTGAAACACTTAAACCTGTTGAAGCAGGCAAACCCTGCAGCATTTGCAGCAGCAGCCAATGCAAAAACAAATGGCAATGGACCAAGCAATGGAGCTGGAAAGAAAGGAGTAGCAGGAGCAGGACCAAACCACAATAATGGAGGACTTCAAACACCAACATGGGCAGAACCAGCAGCAGCCAATGCAAAAACAAATGGCAATGGACCGAACAATGGAGCTGGAAAGAAAGGAGTAGCAGTAGCAGGACCAAACCACAATAATGGAGGACTTCAAACACCAACATGGGCAGAACCGTTAAAGAACCAAAACGGTTTAGAGTTAAAAGGCATGAATGCGACATCAAACACCAACTTTGCAACTAATCCAACCTTAAGCACAGTAGGACTTCAAAACGTCACCAATGGCTTCCCTTCTTCTAACATCAGTGGTGGTTTTGGTGGAGGGAACATTCCACATGGGCAGAGCCAGCCATCGCCCATGATGCTGAACTTCAATGGAAGCCACGGGCATCCATCTTCAATGATGATGAACATGAGAAACCTCAGCAGCAACAACAACATCAATAACTTGAACCACAACATTTACAGTAACGGGAACAATATGATGATGAATGAGAGCAAGTACTTGCAGCCCCAGCTTATGTACAATAGATCTCCCCAGATCCCTCCCTTCACAGGCTACTATCCAACCCCTTATTATTACCACACCATCGACAACTGCACCAGCAGCAGCAATCCTCAGTCAGAAGGCTGCTATACTGCTCATCTTTTCAGTGATGAGAGCCAGAGCAGTTGTGCTGTCATGTGAGTGGATGGGAATTACAAGGGGCTATTCTGTGGAGATATCATAAGTATTTAGTACTGTTAGTTCCTTTTATTTTCAATTTGCTTTCTATTTTAGCTTTTATTTCCTGCGGAGTTTCAGTTGAAGATTAAAAGGTGGTGTAATGTAATACTTTTTCTTAGCTAAACAGTATTACGGGAGCAGTAACTTTGTGGGATGATTTGAATTGTGGTTATTAAAGTAGTGAGAGGGTCATCAGTCAACAAGGGATTGTTTTTTTATTTTAAATTTTTTTTTTTCTTACATTGTGGCAGGTTCTGTCGCTTACTTTATGGGGATGGGATATGATATAATAAGAGGGGGGTGGGGGAGGTGAAGGCCACTTTGCGTTTATTAATGCTTGTGCGATCGGCCAAGCGAGAGTGGGGCAGCGCTGGCGGCAGGTGTAAGCTTAGCAGGATCACGCGAGAGCGCGAAGCCTGCACGAGCGGCAGTGCACGGTCGCGCGAGCTGCTGAAGCTTTCCATCATGTGAGCGTGCGAGCATGCGAAGGCTTTGCGTGTGAGCGGGATTCACAGGGGGAATCTTTGTGGGAGGATCAAAATGGGATCTTTGTAGGATTCATAGATCTGAGGGCAATTGCTCATCCTGCAATTAAGAAATTTTACTACTCTAAAGAAATTTCGAAATTTCAAATTCAGTGCTTGCTGACTATGAATCGTAGAAACATGATAGATATTCTTAATAAATACTGTAGATATGATTAGCAAGGAATTGAAACTAGAAAGATATGCTTAATAAATATTATAAATATTTAGTAAATATTACAGACATGACTTTATTCCTATGTATTTACATATATAACGCTTAAATTTTATTTTTTTTACATGCATTCCGCCTTTAACAATGCATTAAAACGTTTTACTTTTTTTGGGAAAATTGAGTCTGAAAGATAAAATGAGATAATGCGTTCTGTTTATAGAGTGGAAATACTACAAAATTTGTTCAGACACGAGTCCAAACCTTATTTGGACCTTCGGTTCAATTCAAAGTGGAGCTCTCTCGGGAAGGCATCAAAATAGTCGATGTTTGTAGGATAGTTTTGATTTTGGTCAAATGTTCTTTTTTTTAATTTTAAAAATAATATATATAACTTTTTAAAAACTAAATAAATTTTTAATTTAAATTTGGAAATTGATAGAAATTATGGTGCACGGCTACGAACACAGGGAGTGTCAATATACTATTATGATAACAGCTTAGTTGTGAATGACAAACCACTCCAGCACATTGCTAATAGAAGATATCGGACGGATAAATCGAATGTATAGATTTAACCTTTAAAAAAAAGTTAATTTTTTTATTTTAGTTAATAAAAATAATTCATAGGCAATTATTTATTTTTAAAATTTTTTAATTCACTAATTAAAGACGTATGTCAGCCGTGTATGAGACGTGTCGGGTGAAAGTGTTAAACAAATACTCGATCTTACACGATTTTTTAATTAAAAATATATGTGCATCATACCATGGAAGTTTATGAGAGAAATTTCACGTGAAATGGATAGAAATCTTGTACTCAATCAAAATCATGGATAGACCTCGATTTAGGATTAGTAGAAAGGAGAATAATTACATGGGAATGGAAACGAAAGCACGTGTGAAATCGTACTACCGTCAATAGTGAAACATTCACGGACTAGTGCTTGGAAGAGGGGTCCAAATAGTATCATTTTTCTAAGAAAATCATAATAATATGAGACTTTATAAAATTTATAAGCTATTCATATAAAATATTATTGAAATTAATGTCTTTTTTAGTTGTTGGGCAATCACAATCATAGCACATAATTTAAATATTTTCATTGTGGCACTACTATATGCATCGATTCAATCAAAAAACTGATCTGGTGCTCATTTTATAAATATTAAAAATTTGAGGGCGTTGTATGCATGTACTTATTTCTTTTAATAATTCTTCACTACGGCTCCATTAGAGCGCTCTTTCCACATTTTATTAAGTGTAAGACTATCAGGATATATGGCCTTCTCTCTTGAATTCGGTGCAAGTGTTTTTCACGATACTTTTATGCTAACTCTTAACATACATAATTACTTTTCATTGTATATAACAAATTAAATACTACAGAATTTATTTGTCAAAATATATAATATTTTTTTTTGTTTTAAGAAAATGGTTAGAATCCAACTTTGTTAGTGCTCAAGTAATAGAGCGTAAGATTGAGGAAAAAAAAGGGCGGGAGAGATAGAGAGAGGAAGAGAAGAAGAAGAAGTGCCTCCTCGGGGTGATTCAGGGTGTTCCCGGACTTGTGGACATATTTTATTCCAGAAAAATAGAGATTACAAGTGTGGGAGCCATAAGTTCTTTTACATGAAAAGACCTGGAGATGTTCGCCCCGGGGTGGTATCCTGGAGATGTTCTCCCTGGAGTGGACTCTTGTACCTATTCGCCTTAGACCGCAGTCTTGGACCTATTCGTCCCAGGATGGAGTCCTAGAGCTCTGCACCCATCGCGGAGCTTGTCACTGCCTAGTGATGAGTTGTCTTACACTCCTCACGGAGTTTGTCGTTGTCAGATGTTAAATAATTAGAAACGTCGCGAAGCTTGTCGCTGCTGGGTGACGAGTCATCTTACACGCCTCGCGGGCTTATCGATGTCGGATGTTTAATTTTTTTTTATACCATTTGTGAAGCTTATCGTTGTGGGGTGTTAGGATTTTTTCAACCCTTCGAGAAAGTTGTCGTTGATGAGTGTGCTTTTTGACCACCCCCTCAAGAAGCTTGTCACTATCGGGTGTTACATTTTTTTCCACCCCTCGAGGAGTGGGCTTGTCGCTGCATGGTGTCTATTGTTTATCCTGGGTTTAAGCTCCCCGAGTTTCCCCGAGTGTCATTAAAATTTACTATTTGAAGGTGTGGATTACTTTGTTGACATGATTTGGTCATGTTAAGCGGACCTGCATATACTTATGAATATGTTAATATTGAGCGGTATATATAGGTAAACCTTTCCTGATTTTAGATGGCCTGGAAGAGGCAGGTGTTCGATTGGTGGCGTCTGACATAGTCGGTCTGACGACAGGTTGCTAGCCAGAGGGTAATTTGCTGGGAAAACGAATTGAACAATATGAACATATAAATATTTAAGGATTGAGTGGTATGTACGTAAACCTTCTCTGTTTTGAGTTGGTATGCGAAATGCGAGAGGTTGATGGTTGGACGGCAGTAGATGCTTGTGATCTTTTCTCAAGCAAAATAAATAAATTAAAAGAGAAATCGGATTTGTCTCCTGTAAAAAAATATTGGAAGTTGTGGACCACTAATCCTTTTCTGCTTGTGGGGTGGACGGCCGGAGAGCGAGGTGATTGGCCGGTAAATAAAATAATAAAAAAATTATAAGTTAGATATGAAGGGACAAATGAATGAGAGTTATGCACGTGAAAAAAACCCTTTAAAATCGTATAAAAATACTTATACGTGTATGATAGATAAGAATTAAGTAGCAGGTATGTAAATCTTCTCTTTTAAACCTCTAATTCATGGCTGCCCGTGGATGGCCGGAAAGATTTTTCGCTGCCGCAGCTGAAAATTGTCTTCTCTGTTCTCCACCATCTTCTCACAAAAGATGTCAGCCGCACAACATCCTTCACCATTACCCGCTCTTTTTCTAGAAACCTCATATTAGGGGCCAACTCCACCAGCTGGGAACGCGGCGGGCTTGTCGTCCGTGGAGGATTGCAGAAGCTTGATGACAACAGAGAGCCTTGTTAGCGCACCCTTGAATCAAAGCCGAACAAGCTTCAAATCGCCTTTGTCGGCGGCACCACCACCGAGCTCTTTTGCGGCCGGTATCCTGAAGTGGGGTCCATTAGATTGACTCCGAACAGAGCAGAGCTCAAGGTAGTTCTTGAGCATGACATGAACATGTCGTTATAGAGACATATGAGTATGGTCTCAGATAGTATTTGTAACATATCGAAAATGATGTTCCTAACGTTAATACTAGAGACAGAGAAGGTGCATGCGAGATGATAGAGTTGAAAGAACAAATTATGAATATGATAATTGTGTTACTGAAATTTTCATCAAATTATTAATTGCTTGAGCATGACATGAACATGTCGTTATAGAGACATGAGTATGGTCTCAGATGGTATTTGTAACATATCGAAAATGATGTTCCTAAGATTACTACTAAAGACAGAGAAGGTGCTTGCGAGATGATAGAGTTGAAAGAATAAATTATGAATATGATAATTGTGTTATTGAAATTTTTATCAAATTATTAATTATAATAGTTATTAACGAGATTTACTGTTTATTGTATGACTTCATTGTGCCTTTGCTATTAATTGTTTTGATTTTTTTATGTAATTTGCAAGTGTTCTTTTTTTCATTTTTCATTTCTTATAATAGTTATTAACGAGATTTACTGTTTATTGTATGACTTCATTGTGCCTTTGCTATTAATTGTTTTGATTTTTTATGTAATTTGCAAGTGTTCTTTTTTTCGTTTTCCATTTCGAAATTCTATTGAAGACAATCAATTTCGTTTCTTTCTCTTAATGCTACGATTTTTTAGGTTTTTTCTGGATGACATTTTTTGGTGATATGTATATTGAAATTCTATTGAAGACAATCAATTTCGTTTCTTTCCCTTAATGCTATGATTTTTTAGGTTCTTCTGGATGACATTTTTTGGTGATATGTATATTTGACACACAAGAGTTTAGTGTTACGTAGGTTAAAGACAATCAATAACTTTTTTATAAAGTTTGTTGTCTTTTTATAGTGAAAAATTTATTTGTTTACATACTGAGTTTTATAAGACCTCACAGATGCATAAAAATATAATTAATTACTTTTGTTATCGATTTTTACTTGTGTTAATATGTCCAATGAGATGTTTTCTTAAGTTTTCAAGAAAGATGAGCTCAAGGATTTCTGGCTCCTTCTGAGGATTGCACTGTTATTGTGGACTTCAAAGTTTCATGTTAATTTCATGTCAGCCTCTTTGCTACGGGAGAGTTTTATAGATACTTGTGGAGAATCACGGAAAACTGTGACAATCTTTAGTTTGTAGATTAGCTAGAAGATTCCGCAGTCGAGAGTGACCTGTAATGGTGAGTATTCCTAGAGGATGGCTAAACTCGTGACATATTTCATCTGCATTTTAAAAATAATATTATCATATTA